CATCAAGTCGAGTCTTTGCTACTCTTGATCCAAGCTCACATGTCTCACTCAACAAATCAAGAGTGTACTTCCTTTGGGATAAGAATAATCCTTCTTTTGATCGGCATATCTCAATCTCTAGGAAGTACTTTAGCTCTCCCAAGTCTTTGATATCAAAGGATGTATTAAGGAAATCTTTAGTCAAGATGATACCTTCCTTGTCATTGCATGTGATAATAATATCATCCACATAGATCAGTACCACCACAATTCCTTTCTTACTTGTGAGAGTAAAGAGAGTATGATCAGCTTCTGATTTTACAAACCCTCTTCCATTGAGAGTTGTACTCAGTTTGTGATACCAAGCTCTTGGTGACTGTTTTAATCCATAGATTGAATTCTTCAACCTTAGGACATTCCCTGGCTTGACCATATCTTCCATACTCAGAGGTGGTCTCATGTAAACCTCATCCTCCAGCTCTCCTTGAAGAAAAGTATTCTTGACATCCATCTGGCATAAATCCCATTCCAAGTTCATTGCCAAGGAGAGTAGAATCCTTATGGTGTGGAGTTTAGCTACTGCTGCAAAGGTCTCCAAATTGTCTTCTCCATAGACTTGAGTGTATCCTCTTGCAACCAGCCTTGTCTTTTTCATTTCTGGTTTTTCATTGGCATGATACTTGATGGTGAAGAGCAGGCGGCTTGTTACAGCTTTCTTTCCTTTCGGAAGCTTAGTTTCATATCAAGTATCATTCTTGATCATGGCACCAACTACATCTCCAACTGACTATCTCCACCCTTCATGTTCCATGGGTTCTTCATAAGTCTTTGTAACATACTCTTGATATAGATTGCTGATGAAGACTACATGTTCTTGAGGATAACTCGCAAAAGAACATGTTGCTTGGATAGGATGAGCTACTGTATTGCTGTTAAAGTACATTTTGGTGTCGACCCACTTAGATGGTTTCTTCACTCTTGTACTCCTTCTCACTGGTTGGATTTGTTGCTCTTCTACCACTGTCTCTTCTTGTCTTTGATCTTGGATTTGTTGTTCATTTACCATTGTCTCTTCTTGTCCTTGACCTTCATTAGACTGATCTTCTCTTGACTGATCAGATTCAGTTCCATCTTGATCATGTGTGCTTCCTGAATCATCTTCTTCTTGCGGTTGTGATTCAGGTTCATTACCCCCCTTCAGGATCGGGATGGAATGTTTCAACAACTGGTGCTGCTGCTTCATTATTTCCAGCAGTTGGTGGTGAAAGAGAAGTCCTTGGCACCTCACTGCTCTGAGGCCGACTGATGCCTATACCCTCCAGAATGATTCTCAAGTTGTTTGCCCGATCTGAAGGTTCTTCTGAGATATCTTGAAGGCTTTCCCAACTCTTCTCCTCATAATACCCTTTAGATTCCACAAACTGGACATCTCTTGAGATTAACACCCTTCTCTATACTTGATCATAGCAATTATACCCTTTTTGAGTTGGAGAATAGCCAATGAACATAGCTTTTGATCTTTTAGCATCAAGTTTGTTCCTCTGCTGTCCTAGGATCAACACAAAGCAGAGACACCCAAACACACGCAAGTGGTCCAAAGATGGATTTGTCTGGTTAAGAACCTCAAATGGTGACAGGTCATTAAGGATTTAAGTTGGAGTCCTATTGATCAGATAGCTAGCACATACCACAGCATCACTCCAAAACCTTTTTGGAACATTGGTCTGAAACATCATTGATCTTGATACTTCCATCAAGTGTATGTTCTTCCTTTTAGCAACTCCATTCTGTTGAGGAGTGTGGGGACAGCTTGTCTGGTGAATAATCCCATGTTGAGCAAGATATTGCTTAAATGCCAGACTTGTGTACTCTTCACCATTGTCTGACCTAAGAATCTTCACCTTGGCATTAAAGTGATTGGAGACATGGGCTTGAAATTTTTTGAACGCCTCTAACACTCTGTCTTTAGATGGGATCAGTGTCACCAAAGTGTATTTAGACTTCTCATCAATGAACGTGACAAAATATTTGTGATTCTCCCTTGATACACATGGTTCAGTCCATACATCAGAGTGAACTAGGTCAAAACATTTCTCATAGATGGTGCCCGACTCTGGAAAAACAGTGCTGCAATGCTTCCCCAATATACAAGCTTCACAATCATCATTCATGTACATCACTTCAAGGAGCATCAGATTTAAGGCTCTAGTATGAGGATGTCCCAGTCTAGCATGCCATATGATGCTCTCAATCCCTTTGGATGTACTGGCCAGACACTGAGAAGGAGAACCAACGAGAGTTGTTCTGGACGCATTTGTCTTCTGAAGATAATAGAGATCACTGTGGATGTGCCCTTTTCCAATCACCTGGCCTATCTTTAAGTCTTGAAATTCCACTCCATCTGGTCTGAAGACAACCTGACAGCCAAGATCAACAGTAACCTTCCTCACATATAACAGATTAGATGTAAACTGAGGCATATACAAAGCAGTTGATTCCCTATCAAATAACCTGAGGTTTCTTATCCCTTCTATCTTAACCTTATCACCATTCGCTATACGAACATTCCCACAGGCAGGCTGGACATCACTAATCAAGTTCTTATCACTAATCATGTGATGGCGTGCTCCAGAATCCATAATGATAGGTTTAGAGTCAAGAGAGTGTGTACCAGCCTTCTTGGATGATATAAAGGCTTTGATAAAGGAATAAAGGTCACTCATGGTCGCTGGACCATCGGTGTTGGCAGCACAACTCTTACTAGAATTACCATTTAAAGATGAATACATGGTCTTTCCTTGAATTGTTGGATGCTCAAACTCCTTAAGTTTAAATATATTTGACTGGTTTCTTAGGGGATCAACATCCTCTAAATCTGGAATTTTTTCTTCTCTAAGGAAATAGTCTATCAGATTGTTGTAGGGTGAATCCAGTTTTAGGAGAAAGCTGAGAAACTTGTCTTGCTTATAAACCATTTGGAGACTTTCCCATAAATTTTCATAAGCTGTTTGAAGATTCTCCCATAGGCTCTTGGCTGTTTTAATCTTAGCATGAGCCTTCAAGATTGGTTTAGACAAAGATTTGCGTATGATTCCAAGTGCTTGCTGGTCTTCTTGAACCCACTTGTTATCATGCTTCAAGTAACTAGCCTGATTACCCTTGAGTCATCCTCTTTGAAGCTTCAGCCTCCATGATATGGATGTTCCAAACTCTATGACTTTCCAAGACAACTCTAGCTACCCTTGACCATATAAGATAGTTAGGACCCTCAAGGGTACTGAAATCAAGCTCTTCTTCTCCCTTTCCATGGTTGAATTAATTTATCCAAGGATTTGGCCAGAAAAAGATTGAAGAACGCACATGTTTTGAAAAGAAACAAAATAATATTTTGCGGAATGACATGAGCTTAAAGCTCTGATACCATGTTATATTTGTGAGAATATGAAAAGTTTAGTGTGAGTTTATTACTGGAGAATGAAGAATAAGAGAGAAAGAAAGAGAGAAAAGGAGAGAATAATTTTCCTTAGATCTCAAAAATGTCATTACAATTACTTATTAAAGAGGAGACACATATACGAACATTCTTACTGTAGAAGCCAAACACACTTGGCTTAATAGAGAAGTTAACATTAAAGTGTCACTTTTAATTTAATATCTATAATAATAAAGTAAAAAAATCTGCTCACACAAGCAGCCACGTTCTTTTGCTGATAGGGGAAATTCTTGACACGTGTCGACATACGGGTGGCCGAATTTTTTCTCCAAAAAAACAAACGTACTGGACTGATATTAAAAATTTAAGCCCAGATCGCGTGTTAGCTGTAGGCCCATCTTTAGTACGACGGCCGAAAAAAAACCAATCTTCTTCCCCGACTTTTCTGCTTTTGTTTTCATTCCGCATGCTTCTGTTTTTCCATTTCGAAATAAAACTTCTTTCCCTATATAAACCACAACTACTGCTACAATGCAAACCATCACAATTTCTTATTAGCTACAATCGTGTAAATCCAAACAATTTAACAAGAAATTAACCCCATACACACAGACAAAAAACCTTATTCAAGTCAAAAAAATGCTACATAGCCGACATACCGAACCTTCTAAAATCAACATTTGACGGCTGAATACTCCGTCATAATAGCCTCCTATAGATTAGCACGGCAGAGCTACAACAAACTTTCGGAGAAAAAAGGCACGGCGACCAGAAGGTTACCGTGACCCAGAACCTAACGCCGAAAATAAACCACGGAAAGCTACCAACGCCGGAGATGCCCACAATTTACTACAAGTCATGATTCCGGCGACGACCTGGAATTGCCTCAAAAGAACCTGGCCGTCATCGAGCGATGGCACACACAGTTAGAATCCTAAAGTTTGGGCTCAGTTCAATCTAAAAATAATCAAGATTAGGCCCAACTCTATATGAAACGCAGCTGTTTACTTGACGAAAATAAATAGGGACAAAAAACCTCGACCCTAATCCTACCCAGCAAAGGTAATTAGCTCTGAAAAAGAATATTTTATGTTGTGTTAAAAAAAAAAAAAGAATATTTTATGAAAAAACCGAATATTCCACATAGACCATTCCCATCATACAATGCATTAAATTAAAGTTGACCCAAAAACAAAAACCAATAACTCACCTAAGATCTAGAGAATAAATTAAGAATCAGCTCATATTTTTAAAATCAAATACACAAACGCAAGCTATTAATGATCCAAAACCCTCAAGAAATTAAGTATAAAAGATCAACTATCCCCAAAACACAAAGTTGCTACCAAACACAAGAATAACAAAAAAAACAAAGAATGGCAAACCACAACCCTACCACAATCCTCCGAAGTTTGCCATTTTTCATCCAAATCAGAATAATCATGTTGATAGCTAAACACTCGGTGGAATCTTTCCAGAACGTCCTCACCGCATTCTCGAGTTTAGGCCCGGCTGCGAAGACCCCATAAGTCCTCAAGCAAATAAACTTCCATGAGCTGACCCCGTCAAATCACTAACAAAGATACAAATGTATCAAAACCTACTGAGCCTCTCTCTTTCTGCAGGCAACTTGGAGGCGCTTTACTTATGTGGCATGGAAGAATATTTTAAAAATGAAAACATTGTTCAGGGTTTGGAATATCTCCATCTCGCAGCTCAGGGTTTTTACGACAATGGTATTTACCTTTACGGTATAATAATGTTATCTAGGGGCAATCCAACAATCGGCATCCCAATGCTGGATTCACTAAATTGGAGAGCCAACAAAGCAAGATCAGATGGTTGGTGGCAAAACATCAAGACTTCTATTCAGGGAGTAGTAGTCAAAAGATTTGACGTTTACATAACAACTTACAAGGCCACGAGAGCTACAATAGCATGTCATAGAAATGATATGAGACGTTGTGAAGCATGTTACTATTTTAAGCAGATGAAGAAGTTTATTTTCATTATGTGAACCAAAAATGTAATTGCCGCATGCCATATGTAAGATTAAACTATCAAAATTATAATAAAGGTATTCCTAATACGCCAGCCTCTTCGTCCCCTATTCTTCTGTCTCTGAAATTACTATTTCCATTAAGTTATAACTGCAAACAAGGGTAAAACCTATGAACTACTATAACCATAACACAAGAACAACCTACTACCGCTAAACACTTAATACAATTATAGCTCCATCCGAACAAATAAAACCGAAGTTGAGCCAACGGCTACCCTACGTCGACGAAATTTAGTCGTCCAAATACAGACGGCCGGTCAATGAACTCCTCCACCGTCTACGCCTCATAAATTACGTGTATTCTTAAAGAAGACAACCGAAAAATATACTAATATTTTAAAAATCTTTAACACAGTAACTATGATTGCTATAATATTGATATAATCACGGAAAATAACAAAATAAACGCAAACAGCAACAATTAGTACGCCGACGATAACCACATCCAGGGAACATACGTCTACGGTGTTCTGCTCCTAGCCATGGGTCAGACTGCGACAGGCACTACCATCATCAACCAACTAACCGATGATAAAGGTGCTTTTGTGGTGGAAGATTGCATGGCAGCCTTCCAGCAGTCAGTTCAAACACCACTCCTTCAGATGAAAGACGTATGTGCAACCTCAATCCTGAATATGTGGCAGGGTCCTAACTGTCATCTTGACACAGGAGGAGAAACCACTGTATGTTCAAAGTGTTTCCACCTCGCTTTGCTAATACACTTCTACAAAGATGGTTATGGGATTGAACGACCTCCTCGGATGAAGCAACTTCTATATCATTTTTAAGTTTTTGAACAATCACGGTTGAGTATAATCCAAGTTTACAAGTCCAACTTCATCATCTCACATGAGTATCTTATTATTTGCATTTTATTATCTATGTTTTTTAAAAACAAAAAAATCCCCACATTGAACTATATATGAATGACTAGCAGTTAAAATATCACGGGCCTTCAACGAGAATTCGAAGCCCACAAAACATGAACGACTACTTCATTCGAACACATCTAAAAACAATGGCGTTTATTTGAAACCTTTCCTTTGAAAGCAGTTCCATTTTAATAGAACGCAAAAAAAAAAAATTCCAAACCAAATAAACAAATTAAATATACTCTTCCTTTTGGCGATCAAACATCAACACCCCGCGCGTAGCGCCGCCGCGCCGGTCACCCCCTAGTATTTAATAAGAGTAACGAAGGCACAAGCAAGACTATAACGATTATGCGGAAGAAGAGTATCATGTCACTGAAGAATAACAAAAGCGAGCTCACATGGCATTAGAACACGAAATTTCTATGGAATAAAGCAAAGGAGTTAATGTCAGTCCATGAGATAGAAGGTAAGCATGTCAAGATGCCGTTCATACATTTTTTCAAATCAAGAGTGCATCATATACTGGTTAAAGAAGATATAATTTCTGTAGCAGATGAAGAACTGAGTATAATCAGTGGCAGGGCGGAGCATAGCTTATACAACACGTGTGACATCATCAAGGGCAAAGAATGAAACTAAAATCTGATCAAAGAAAGCTTGTAGGAGTTGAGAGGTTTCCCAAGGTTCGAGAAGAGATTTTTGCTAGACGTGTTAGATGGCTGCTCAAAGTTATTCTTATCGACAAGGTCTGGTCATTATGTATTGTTACAAGAAGTGGTGATCAAGGATACTGTTTGGATGAGATCGCAGAGCTCGGAGATTCAACATCTGTCTTTCTGTATCAGTTGCAGGTTTCGAACCTTGAAAGGAGATGTGAGACTTCTAACAGAATTCAGCCAGGGTTACACACAAATATGTCCAGGGAAAATCAGATTTGAGACTCTATCTAACATAATCAGATGCTGAGGGAAAACATATATATATATATATATATAGAAATGCTCTTAAATAGCACTCTTTTAAGTTTTTTATCACAAACATACATCTCAAAAATTAAAGTGACCAAAATAACACCTTTTTGTTAAAGTCTATATTTGTGACAAAAACTTTTTTAGGGTCTATTCTATTTATTTTCTCTATATATATATTGACTTAGCTATGCATCCAAGCAGGAGAGGAAAAGATATGTCATGTTGCTTGAATGATAATCCAAGACAAGAAGAAGAAGTCAAGCTAATGGGGTTGGCGTTTGGAGTTTATCTGCATTTTCTGGTCTGTTTAATGCTTGCTACATGCTGATTATTCATTGCAATACATGGTTTCTGAGAAGAGAGAAATGGTTTGAATGATAATCTAAGCATAAAGACAAGAAGAAGTCAACAGGTTCAAGCACAATCAATGGTAGGCATACAAGGTGGAGTAAAGAGTACAAGTCTACACCAACACTTGTGACAAGATCTGTAACAAGGCTTATGAGAGGGGCAGGAAGTATTCTGGATATATCAAGCTAGGGTCTGATCAAAGAAAGGCTCATCTTGAGATTGTAGGAAATCGTGTACAAGGATCCAAATGATCTGTCTGATGCTATAGCTTTCTGATGTGGCTTAAAATTTTCCCAGAGATGTAGTAGTGGTTGAGATGAAGGGTTCTAATAAATGATGGAATCTCATAGTCCAGAGATTTTTTAGGACACTAGAGCCATGTCGATAAGGGTCTCCAAAGTTGCAGCAAGATACTGGAACTGTGTCGTTTTTCTTTGTGCAACACTGCAAATCTTAAGGGAAAATTATGATGATACTCATGATTTTTGGTGTGATGGATATAGTGATTTTTGGTTATGGTTTACATGCAACTATGATATATGGCCTTGTTGCTGGTTTCAGAAAGATCGGCTCATATTGGTGCGAGGTTCTTAAATTGCTAGAGGAAATCTGCGAACATGGAGAAGATTTGCGATCTAAATTCAGAGATGGATGTTAGAATAAACTCCAGAGATATTGTGTACTTACTGCACTGAAAAACGACAAGTCTTTTAGTCTTACTGAACTGATTGAAGAATAGCTGAGATTTTTCTCAATCTTGATAACAGATGGAGAGGAGACTGTAACAAGGTTTATGAGTATTGTCAGTCAGCATCAAGATAAGTTGAATGATCAATGTTACAAAGCTGATGGAACATGAGAATTCAGTTCCTAAAGCAAGGGCAGTATCAGAAATGCTGAGATTCTATTATCTAAAATCTATCAAGAGATTCAGTACTGCTTTTGCAAGTGAATGTTGCAAAGACTAAAGGCATATTTCATGGTGGTCAATCCAGGTTCTCCAGTGTTGCAGAGAAGTGATTGGAAAGTGAATGTCTCTTGACCTATGTTGCACTGGGACGGATACGGGGACAGATACCGGGACGGGGGCGGGGACGGGAAACGACTAAACTTCAAATTTATAGATACGGGTACGGCATGGGTACGTCTATATATATATATGTATATGTATATATGTATATATGTATATATAAATATTAAAACCAAAACATAATTCTCATATAAAATAAAACACCATGATAATATCTTAAATAAAATAAAACACCACTCTAATATCTTAAGTAATATAAAAAATAAACTAATCATCACTATAATATCTTAAGTAAAATAAAAGATAAACTAATCATCGATCAATCCATTCTCTAAATCTGGCTCATCAAGTGAAAGACTTGAAAACTCCAAATAACCCACATCTTCCATAGAATCAAAATCATCTCCACCAACATCCCACATCTTTGTCCTTTCTTTCTCGTATTGCTCGGAGTTCCTTGATAAGAAACGTAAATTGTTGTGGATAAAAACTAGATCTTGAGCACGACTTGGATTCAACTTATTCCTTCTAAGTGAATGAATGAATGAATAAGTACTCCAGTTACGCTCAGCACATGAAGATGAACTAGGCTGTCCAAGCAATCTAAAAGCCAAAGTCTGTAGGAAAGGAGTTTGAGCACCAAAGTTAGCCCACCATTTTTTGGGTTCCATAGTAAACATCACCGAAATGCATGTTAAGTCCTCAAAAGGTCCAGTTCTCATGGAGAATAAAGCATATTCATCCATAACCTTAAGATGATCATCAATACTCGGAAACAATCTTCGAAAACACTTCATTCTCTCACTGGATACTTCTGGATCTCTATGTGGACCAAGTCTGGTAGAATCTTCACTTAGCCATTCATCACTATAAAATCTACAATAAAAAAGATGTTTTATATGAGGCAACAAAAAAAATTATATAGTTTAAAATCACATACCTTGGATTTAAAGAGTGAGCTAGACAATGCAAAGGAGTGTTGTTTTTTGCCCAACGATCCATTAAAATCTCATAAACAACAGTGTAGAAAGGACTAACTTCAACCACTGGACGTTTCTCTTTCTTGTGGATCTCAGACTTCACCTTCTCAATCATAGAATCCCACATCTCATATACCAAATGAAGACATGGTTTGTCAGTGTCACAAAACCTTATCATCTCATATATTGGTCTTGTGAAATCAATAATGTATGACACTTGCTCCCACCAATCATCACTAAGAATCTTGCCCTTCACAAAAGTTGCTTTCCCTACATCATCTTCTCTATAAGCAGACCACTCTTCACTTATGACCATAGCTTCAAGTCCTCTTTTGATAAGCTTCAGTCTCTTAAGCATTACAATGATAGAAGCAAAACGTGTATCAGCAACTGCTAGCAATTTGAGAGGAGAGAACTTACTAAAGATAGCTAGTCTCATGTTGTGGTTCATGATGAAATGTTTTATTGCAAGTGCATCTCCATGAACATCAGTTATCCAGTTGCATTCTTCATATGTTGCTGCATTCTTTTCCACATTCCTTGCTGCACAAATGTTCTTCAAAGCAAGATTGAGGGTGTGAACCACACATGGTGTCCAATAAATATGAGGAAACGTACTCTCAATAATCTCTCCAGCAGCCTTACAATTTGCTGCATTATCAGTGATGATTTGCACAACGTTTTGATGACCCACTTCATTGATAACCTCTTTCATCAGACTAGAGATGAAGAATCTATCTTTCACTTC